GCGATGGTAGGTCTCTGAAGACAGTGAATACTGAGTAAACGATTTGTGAGCAGTGTGGAACACGTCTTTGAAAACAGTGCACAATCCACCTTCAATCTTCCTGATTCTTAGGATCTTTTGTTGGAAATAGTCATATAAGTGCAAACCGTTTTTTGCCCAGAGATGTTCCGTACTGCAAAAGTATCCGACTCCTGCTTGCATCCGTGAACTATGAATAATTTGCATAAATTAGCAGGCTTATGTGTAAGAATAATTGATTTCACCATCATCTAACGAATGAGTAGGAGATTCAAACGTTTGGCTGAACGTGCTAGCTGTAAGCCGAAACAAATCATGAAGTGAACGTATTATTCGCATTGGTGGAACGATGCCCATCGGAAGCAGTTGAAAATCAAGGAGGCCTCTATTTCACTGTTGGACATGTACAGCCACCTAAGTGTGATCACACTGGAGTTGTTAGGAGAGATGGAAATCTGATCGGGGGCGTGCAATCGTCTTGAGGGAAATCAACTAAAAGGATTACGTAGTGGGCGTAAGCGGTGCGAATGTCCAGTGTCAAAATCAGCGTGACAAAATGCGCTCGCAATGCTGAATAAGCGCGGATAAAAAAGGTATTATTCATGATAGATAGTGCAAAACCTTCTTAGCTCACAACTCCAAGAGCATGCTGAGAATCGAGATATTATTGAGAATTATTGATGAGGTGGCAGTGTTTACAGTGTGCGGAATCATTTTTGACAAGCAGTTGATCGATTTGTCATTTTCAGTCACTATCATAACTTTGAGCTATTTCACGAAATAAAAATGAAATGAAGTTTTGATCGTGTTCATTGTTCGCATAGTCATTCGATAACTTAAATCAAAGGAATTGATTGGCATATTTTGCTTTCAAAAAGTCTTGCTGTTGCACCAAAAGAACAAAAATATTATTTTGTCCCTCATTTGGAGCTGGCTGGCCGGAGCATTTCCTTTAGAGTTTCGACAGTCGGACAACGGATCGAAGCTCAAGAATTCCAACAATGTTTCTGGTTTTTTAGCAGAGTTCTTAGTGCTTCATAAAATCCAAAAAAAGTGGGTTTTGCATTCAACTCTTCTTTTGCAGTTTTACAAAGCCCAATCTTCTTCTGGCTGTTACAGCGTGACATGGTTCTTGCAGCAAATCATACAGATCACTGGATTCCTTAAGATCGGATCTATTGTATGGCCATTGAAACTCCAAAGAAAAAGCTTTGTTTAGCGGGAAGTTCTTGAATGGGAACAAAATGTTGTTTTTGAGCTTTTGGCGCAATAACAAGGTTATTTGAAAGTGCAATAGAGCATTCAAATTTTCTGATTTGAGCTATCGATTAACTGCTTAAACATTGAGAACAATAGAAAGAAAAAGTTCTTCCCAAGGAATGAAAAAGAGGGACGGATATTAGAAGTGGTCCAATTCCGCTAAACTCAATCTTCTTCTGGCTGTACAGCGTGATACTAAGTTTACTACAAAAATCAAATAGTTCATTGAGATTCTTAGGACTTACCTATCGAATGGCTATGTAAGCCCGAAGAAGAAGCTTTGGTCAGCAAGAAATCCTGAATGAGAAAGAACTAAAACATTCTAAAGCATACTAAAGCATACTGAACATACTAAAACAGGGGCTATTTTATAGTCTCTTGTATGATTGTCTGAGTAGAACACAAAAATGTGAAGTTTGTCATACTTGATAGTGAACACGACGGAATCAATTTGGGTAAGATGTACTGATCGCCTCTACACCATGTGGATACGGTTATGTTGGAGAAACACGCAAGCCACTCAGTGTCTCCATTCGAGAGAGAGCATATTTGGGAGGTATAGCTCAAAGAACACTTCAGCAGACAAGCATAAGGCACAAGATTTCGAGGAGAGGATATTAAAACAAAGGTTAATACCCTCGTACAAGATTCCAAAGCACTTGCATTCAAAATTTTGCACGCAAGCGCTTCGAGCAATTCCAAAGCTCTGCGAATAAGCTATGAGGAACAGTATTTGATGGTCACGCGTGCCCTCACACCACTCCACGTTTCAGGTCAATATTTTGATCTGAGCTGAGCATATTGCCAGCCCGTGTAAATTCCAAAAATCCATGGATGAATCACATGCACCAGTGTTTGGATGATCATGCGTGTCCTCACGCCATCCCGCATTTCGAGTTAACATTTTTATGAGTTAGGCATATTCTTAACCCGTGTAGGACTCCGTGCCTCTGGTCTTTATTAATAACACAGAACTTCAAAGAACAGAAAGGTAAGTGTTCAAGAGAAGTTGTTCAAGAAGCCAAGAAAACTTATTTCTTGGTCTTTTTCTGTATGCATTGTGAAGGTGTTCATCTAAATTGAGTTCTCTGTCCTTATTTTTGCTTTTTCACTTAATAGCAAGGACTTTTCAAAGACAATATACGCTTTGCAACTTTATTTGTTCTTGACATCGAATGATTATTTGAACATCAAAAGGAAGCGTAGATGACCTTTTCCTGAGAGGTTAAAACAAAGCGCAAACAACAAAAAAGTACCCTCACTCGCTTTCCGCTTTTGTTTTACCACGACTATGAATCAATGGAAGTACGGAAAAATATCAGCGTGTAGAGAATTTTCTCTTGTACCAATAGCATCAAAGTCATGCGCTCTATTCAAAGTCTCTGCCAATACCATAAAAAAATTCTTAATATAGTAGCAATAATTGCCACTGTTTTAGCGCATAGTGCGGTAGATAACTATCGATTCAAGCAACAGATTAGGAGATCACCTTACTAAAAAGTCGTTGCAGTGACTTTCATTAACATTTCACTCAAATATGAACCTCTTCGGCGACATTGTATAGCGGCCGACTCACGGACGGCAGGGGGGGATGAGGCGGGGTGGGGAAGGGACGATCGATTGCGGCTGAAATACTGTTCTTCAATTTTGGATTTTTCTCACCGCATCTATAATAATTTTAGATAAAGACGTAGATACTGAGACTGCAAAAATTTTTCTATACGCTGATACGTTGTTCGTGTTTCCCGCCATTAATACGCGTGGTGAAATTAAAGGCGAATTAGAAACAAAATTTTCTCCTGGATGCCACAGTATTTCAGATGGGCGTTTTGAAAACCGAAAAACCGGCTGCGTATAGTCTAAGCCGGAGATTCAAGCTTAGGGGTAATTATTAACGTTCCTATGAAAAGTTTCTGTCTAGAGAATGAGATCGGTTTAAAAAATTTGTCTCCATCTGGCACATACCTTTCTTCACTGCTGAAATATGTGAAAAAATTATCAGGACTTTTCTGCATCCTGTACTCAATTTGTTGCAAGAAAATTTCAAAAAACCTTCAATTAGTAAAATTACTCCAAACAAACAGTCACAACACCAGCATTTGATGAGGTAGCACTTTGTATCGAGTAGACATGTTTGCCAGCCTTCTGTAAGAACCACAAAAAGTTGCTATTTAGTTCATCCTTGCCACAAATCAGATCTATCGCCGGCATTTTGCAGAAAATGTGTCGGTGAGATCGTAATGCGTACAAAACAGCAGCGGCAACACCTTTAAGGAATCCTTATAGCGGCTTTCTTGGTGACCTGAAAAGCAGTCGAACCTCAACATACAATAAACATCAAAAGCATTCTGGCATAGTCTTAGCAAGTAACGCTACCTTTGAGCTGCATTACTGACTTTTTCTTCAACAAGTATTCCTCTTCAATTTCCTCAAAAGTGAATGTGGGTCCGTAATAGAGAAGGATCGACTCATTAACTCCGAAAAAACTCTGAGTCTCTCAAATAATTAAAGTCGGCAGAGCTTCTAGTACATGAACCCACATTCCTTTGCTTTTGCTTACGTTATAACTAACTCAGTAAGAGTATTCGAAGTGAAAGCGAAGCCTGCTCGACATTTGATGGGAATACGGTCAAAAGTTGTAGGTAGGTGAACCTAGGCCAAGAGTACTTGTTTGCTCCGAAATTCCCCTCACAATCAGAACAATTTCTTGAAATAAATTAGTTTGAGGGCAAAAGTTAGAGAACCGAGGTAATCCAAAGTGAAAAATCTCCTCAGAATCTGTGAGAAGCTCCAAAAGTGTCATCAATGCGTGCGAAATTTGCTGAAATGGATGGATCAAAACGCTTCACATGATCAAATTCAAGTTGAAGGTGTCTCGCACTTGAGATGTGCTAAGGAAAGGGCGATGTTCCAAAGAGATGATTACTGCAATGTACAGAGGAAGAAGGCGCTAAGAAGCTTCTGCTCAAAAACCGATCAGTAGAAGGCCAATTATCACAATCGCTCTTACGGTCTGCTCACTTAAGATTTCCTTGTAGTTGTAGGACTAGCAAACGTAGTCCTTGACTATTTGACAGTTTGGCGAAGGTGATTCTTTGAGGATTCTTATACTTTGGTTACTATTCGAAGCTCCAACTGCGGCATGTATCTATGTTTTGCAGAAATTTGATATCCGAATTGCCTGAGACCCATATGACTGTTAAATTTATATGATAAATAATATCTGAGCCGACATGTCCGGTGGTCTGCTACGGACTCTTGTACAGCCGGATTCACGTGTCTCGGCCTTGGCAGCTTCGTTAGTCGGGCTCCATTTCCCAACATAGAGTGAGCGACGGCGCGCGATTTATACGTGCCGTCAAGTGAAATGAATTGCTAGATCGGCGTTGTTGCACACTCAGTGGCTCTTGTCTGGTATTTTTGAATTATCATAACAATCGTGTCGAGCGTTTTCTTAAGACCTTGCTCAAATTTCGATATATGTGATAATTATTGTATGAGCTAAGAGAATTGAGTGGTGAGCAAAAACACAGCCTCAGGAGGGAATTGAACCCGGGTTTCATTCATAGCGGAGACGCGTACTACTGCCACTACACCACAGCGGCACATTTGCGCCGCCACTAATTCTTCGACATCTCTATGTTAGCTATCAGCCATCAACCTTCAACAGGCAGGTTTGGTCGTGTATGCGATTTCGCTTTATAAACCCAGTTGTGCTGACAGCGCAGTGGTGTAGTGGTAGTAGCACGCATCCGTAGTATGGATAGAACGCTTGTTCGATTCACGCCTGAGGTCGCGTTATTGCTTGCCACTCAATTCGTAGATATATTTGCAACATCATAACAGTGGGAAAAAAGCAGTAAAAATGCTGTCACGGCTTGTGTTCGTATTGCACCAACCTTGCTATCAATGACGGTGTCTGAGAAATGCAAGAGTTAACACCTTTGGCACAACAGAGACACGCCGCCAGCCCATGGCGCCGGGACTCGGCAAGCAGCTCGTCATGCCGAGTACTTCGTAATGACGAATGCGGCCAAACGGGCGCCATACTCAAAAGGTCAAGCGACCGTGTTGATTATTTCGAATTGCGGTATTACTCATTTTGCATGCTATAAGAAATCAAATTATGCTTAAGTAGAAACAATTGACTATTGCACTCCACACTGTTGACCAAGTGACTAAGTAGTCTTTTCTGTAGAACAATTCGGGCAGTCTTGAATGTATGAAAGTGAAAGTTTTTTCTAAGGATATCAAGATTGTCAGCGAAATTGCCTACCTGTTGTCGAACCATATGCTTCATTTGCAAGGGCGAAAGTGTGGTCAAACAGGTACTGATAATAGTGATCTGAAAAAAGAATCGAGGAACATTCGGGTGAGTACAGGGTTTCCTACGAGATGTGCACATAATTTGGTGGCAAGACTGAGTAGTTATGTTAGCTTAATGGAGCAGTTAGTGGCTACTGCCTGTCTATTGTAGACGTTGAATCCATCATATGAACAGGGCTAATTCAACACTCCACTCACCTTTCCAGTTTTAACAGTGAAAAAGCCGCTTGAGATTATAGGAATAATGATTTAATGGTGAGTAAGTGCACAGGTCAAATGTGCGTTAAAACGGACGGATCTATGGCGATTATTAATGTTGTCGAATAGGAACGGACTAGGATTTAGCTACGTCGTAAACTTTGACCTCTTGCTTGCTCTTTTTCTTCTCACAGCGCTTCAGTTACAGTATTACTACACTATCCTTGCGTTTTTGAATTTCACAGAGATGTATCTGTTTCTTAAAATAGCCGAGCTTTGCGGATCTGCATGAGCAGAAAGTCACAGCTGCCACAGATAAGAATTTCCAAGAATCTACTGAACGATAATAGGAGAGCTTGAGTAGAGAAAAGCAACAGTATTAGCCTAACGTTATGAGAACATAAAGAGCTTCGAATAGGTCACTAACTTTGGCGACGAAAAAGATTTTACATGCGCCATTAAGTGGCAATCACTGAAAGTCGGTAGCTTGAACTGCTCCACGTTCAGGCTGGTTGCTCGCCGGTGTTGTCAAGCATGATTCTTCCTTGATTCTACAGTTTTACGATTTTGTTAAGGCTCTGTAATATTTTTATGCGTGATCAGTTATTGACTTCGGTTACTCGTAGCTTTTTTTCCAGTTTCTGCTTAGCGCGCGTTGCGCCTGAACGCCATCTGTACACAAACCAAGAAGAAGAGTGGAATGGCGTTGCATTCTGGGGCGCTGCTAAATTAATATATGATGAGTGCAGCCTCACTCGACTTATCAATCGTAGCTTGTGAAAATATCATAATCATCGTATTTGATCCCATGAAAATTCTCGTAAACGCTGGCTCTTCGATTATCGATAATCACAGATGTTTCGTATCCATGTGATTCTCAGTTATCCACTGTTATCCTGCTTCCACTAAGCCAGCACTGACATCCTTTGAGGGCTATATAAAGATTTTAAGACAAAATATTGCCATTCTACAACAGTATTGCCATCGATGTAAGAAGAGGGATTTGACAAGGCGACACTATTCCGCCAAAATTCTTCACTGTCATCCTCTAAATTGTCATGCGACCATTAGAATGAAACAATATGGGAGTGAAAATCGACGGTTGACAGCTAAACCATTTTCGCTTAGCTGATGATATCGTCCTCATAACACTAGCATCAACTAAAGGAACGAATGTTGACCGATTTCGACAACACTTGTGGAAAGATTGGCGTTCAATTGAATCTAACGAAAACAATGTTCATGAGGAACGGATGGGTTTCGAATGCCCCATTCACGCTCAACGGAACGACAATCTCCGAATGCTTCAATTACGTCTATCTAGGTCGCGAAGTCAACATGATGAACGACATAGCTCCAGAATCGAGCAGGAGAAAACGAGCGGTTTGGGAAACGTTTGAGAGCATCGAAGATGTAGTGAAGAGGACAAGGAACATCCAACTCTGTGCCCACCTTTTCGATTCGGCAATTATCTTTGACCTTACGCATGCAAGAGAAACCTGGTCGCTACATGAGCAGGATGAAAGATCACTTGGCGTTATTGGAGGCGCTGCTAAAAGGTTGGTAGTAGGAGTATAATAGGAGGTAAAAGAATCGGTGTGTTAAAATAATGATAAATTAGGAAGATGATCTTTGTTCGCTTAACTACTTGCTTGATGCTGTTAGAAGCTATCCATGTCTTATGCTCCATCTGCGTAATAGGTGGCGTAAACAATTCCATTTGTTAAGATCTAGTAGAAAAACACTCTTGTTGCACCTGTTGTTGACGTCGTAGCATTCCCTGAACCTGGCTGGTTTTTGGTGTTATAGGAGCAATGTCATCAACGAAACGAGGATGATGCAATCGTCAACAATCTAATCTAATTCCTATGCAGTCGTGTTCCAATGTTTCCATAACATTGGCAGAATTCTAAAAGGGCGATATCTAAATTGTGAGATTTTTATATAGCTAACAAAGAATCTCTACGCATTGAGAAGTGACAGCTTCTGTGGTTGTTTTCAACCAACTAAATCGGAAACTATTTTCAATTCTTTGTAAACGATTTATAGCGATATTTTGTACTATTGCGTGCTTAACTAAGTCTTTGCGCCGTCGTATGGTCTGTCGTACTGAATTCGTCCCAAGCCTTCCTTATTCACGCAACTGTCCATCGTTCCTTGTTCGGCTAATCCATGCAGGAGAGCTTGAGTAAGAGTTTATATGCGGAAGAGGGTAGGCAAATTGGAGGACAGCTGGCAGTGCTGTAGAAGACATTATTTTGAGCGAAAACATAGATATGTAACCGCGAGAGGAGAGCATGTGTGCGACGCAGAAGTGGCGTAAAGTTCTCTAAGTATTCAAGTTACGTCCCATTCAAATTATGTTTTTCAATTCTTCAACGTCAAAATGTTATACCGGATTTCGGGAGGCACGAAAGTGAGACGATAATTTTAATCTCCTTTGTTGCACATCAAGCGACTATATGATGGTCCTTGGAGTGATCTTAGAAGTGACCGTAAATAATTCGATTCATTACTTCCTTAAGACAGTAACCTTGATTAAAACGTTGAAGTGTGTTTATCTTGTTTTCAAAATTGATGAAGTCTTAAGGAGCTTTCCAGTGCTATTCGTATCTCTCGCAACTTGGACTATAATTGTTGCTCTCCTATTGAGACTGTCCCTAATTTTTTCTGAGTTGTTGCACAAATCTGGACGGAGGTGTCGGCTGCCTGAGTAATTTAATCCTTCCAAACTCCATACACACGTGCAGCTTGCTAAGATTTGAATGTCAATGCTGAGCGAAATTTAAAAATTTCTACTGTCTTCATAATGGCAGCGAAAGGCTCATTTAATGAAGACTACTCCCAACCATTTCTCAGCTACTTTCTCTTTACTTCATTACAGCTTTTCAAAAAGCCAACTCATAATGTGGGCTTAACGAGATTAAAGCAGCGCAATTAGTCCAACCTTAAATCCAGTTGCTTACCATTAAAATAGAAATTTGCCTCTTGAATTATGTTACACCTCCTGTCCGCCAGAACAACTCTTTGTCTAGACATTCTAAAGCATGTCCGCCAGTACGTCCTCATTCTTTATCAATGCTAATCGACAACCTTCGTGGAGACGTGAAAATTCCTGAATGGGTTGTACTAGTTTTATTAACCACTATGGTTTACAAAATGCTTGAGTTTTAGTTGAACAGCTGTGATTCAAGTCAGTTGTTATTGGAAAAAGAAGACAACGTTAATGTAAAATTGAAACAGGCCAGTGAAAAGGCGTGAAGAGAGTTCATTGGACCAATTGGTTCTTGAAGGGCTCGCACTTGCTTTGGCAGGATTCCATATTCACAATGTTAAGGATATTTCGCCAATTTTCCAACACACAGCATCTTAAGTTTGAGGTCGAAATTCATGAAAAAAATTAACAGGAATGTATTTTCTTGTCAAGTATTGATCTACGCTGGTGCTGACAGCTGCTTAACACGTTAGGGCACAAGTGATATGCTCATAAGCGCGACGTGCCATGCGCAGCTCTTGAAGTGGAGGTAATTATTCAGAGCTTCTCATTGGATGTGGTTAGTGCTGCCGAGAGAAAGCATATAGACTCATTTAACGCTGCTCACTAATGTGCCAATGTACGACAACATCAACCAAAAAAACGCAACCGGTCTGTCATTTAGTCAACCTCTGATACACAGATGGGCCAGCGACTCAGTAATCGCAGAAATAGGTTGAACTTTACGAAGACTACATGTTTGTTCTTTTACTATAAGGCCGTTCTTAATGCGCTTTGGCGAATTCGAGATTTCTTTTATGAAATTCGCATCGTAGAAATGTGCTATTCAAAGGCAACCAACTTTGTCACTTAAACATCCCAAACACTTTCAAAATCCTTCCACTTTTATATCGCATGTAAGGAAGAAAAGCCATCTGTTCAAAACGATTCCGGTTTCACTGAGCTGTATGTTCGGCAACCCGACCCAGTTCAAATGCAAAGCACCCATCAGCAGACAAAACAGCACTGCTGCAAGGATGGAGAAACCAAAGTCTGATGAGGCTAGTTAGAGATGCTTCATGGTTCGCAATTGTGAGGCAAAGCGATATCCTTACTGTTTGGAAGCGCTGACTATGTAAGGTGCTAATGTAGATGACTTATTACCTATATCGCCTGCCACCCCAATGATCATCAAGTAGCTGGAGTTGGAACAAACACACCTTCCAATTATCTCTGTCGCGCAGGAGTCGCTCGATGAATTCTGCCCTTTTCTTATTTTCCTTCCGGGGTTATCGTTG